ACTGTCCCCTGCTCCTGTCTCCGTCACCGTGAGCTCCGTCACCGCGGCCGCCATCACCATAACAGACAGCCCATCCGTAGCTTCCAACCCCAGCTCGGTGCCACCAACCTTGGAGACAGCCCCAGGTCTTTGGACAGCAAATACTGCCAGCTTGGCAAGAGGCACGATGGATTTGGGGGCAACTCCCAGCCCCACGGGTATACCTGCATCCTCCCTGTCTCCGTCACCGTGAGCTCCGTCACCGCGGCCGCCATCACCATAACAGACAGCCCATCCGTAGCTTCCAACCCCAGCTCGGTGCCACCAACCTTGGAGACAGCCCCAGGTCTTTGGACAGCAAATACTGCCAGCTTGGCAAGAGGCACGATGGATTTGGGGGCAACTCCCAGCCCCACGGGTATACCTGCATCCTCCTCCTCCTCCTCCCTCCCCACCAGTGACCTGTACTCGTCCCCCGGGACTGTCTTGTCCCCAACGCCTGTCCTCATGAGCCCTGGCACCACCCAGCCACCGGCGCTGACCAAGGACGTCCCTTCCCTGGGGACGCTGGCCATGGCATCGAGCCTGGCCGTGGAGCCAACGGCCCCCCCAGTGACTGTGACGAGCCCCACCGCAGCCGAGGCCACGGCCACCGACAAAACCACCTTCTCCACCGGCGTCACCATGGAAGAGGTCCCACACGCCCTGAGCGCAGGTGAGCACCACCGCTCTCCGTACGCATATACAGATATAACGTCAACCTCAAGGTGCTTAGATAAAAGGCGCAGACCCCCCGAATTGGAAGGGAAGAGGTGGTCAACTTTCTGAGAGCACCATTCAGCAAAAGCTTGGTGGAGCTTTCGGAGGTCCTTCCTTGGAGGAGCCTATGTCATCTGCTCCAGCGGTGGAGTCAAGGAGTCACAGATACCAAATCTCAGTTGCCTGGAGATGTGAATAAAATCCTTAGTTGCAAATTTGACTTGAAACACTTAAGAATGAGAGGAAACAAGTGCCTGGACCGGGGGTGCAGCCTGAGTTAGGAAGATGTAGGTTTCTCTTCTCTGTCTTGGAGACCTCACTAAGCTGACACTAGCTTTCACCTGTCCTCTTCTGCGAGCTCAATAGCTTAAATGTGCTTCATAAGGCCAGAAAAGGGAGGGATCTGGAGCGTTTTCTAGCCTTGGCTCAGCACTAAATGCTGCCTGCTCCTGGGAGGAGCATCAAGGAGCTCAAGCAAAGCCCAGCTGTGTTTTATCCCAAATCCATCTGCCCTGCCTTTATGGGAAGGGGGTCATTGCAAAAATATAGGGGTGCTCAGCATCTTCCACCGGAGCTGTGGGAAGCAGCGAGGGAATGTCCTCTCCCACCAGAGACGGCTGGCACGGGTGTATCGGGAGCAGCCGGGGTGTGGGGTGGGTGCCGTGGGGCTGGGATTCGGGGGGGGCTGAGCTCTGCCCTTTCTGATGGCCCCTCCCTCCGCAGGGAGCATCGTGGCCATAACCGTGACGGTCATCGTGGTGGTGGTGGTGGTTTTCGGGGCGGCGGCGTACCTCAAGATCA